GAACAGCACAGCCCCGGGATGATCAGCACAGCCCCTGGATGAACAGCACAGAGCCAGGATGAAGAGCACAGCCCCCTGGACGAACAGCACAGAGCCAGGATGAAGAGCACAGCCCCAGGATGAACAGCACAACCTCAGTACAAACACCATAGCCCACAGGACAAACACCACAGCTCCTGGGCAAACACTGTGCTGCCTGGATGGGACAGGCCCAGCAGAGTTACCTCCACAAGTGCCCCACAATGTGACCATTGCCCTGCACACAGGCCAGCTGTGCTTCAGTGCGACCTTCCACCTGCACACTTCCACCTGCACCTCCTGAGCTCTGAGAACTGAGCCACAGTCTGGCAGGAGCAGCATTTTAGGGGCAGCACAGGCAGCAGGGATGCATTTCAGCTGCACTGTCCAACACACCTTGTCAGCTCGGTCCCGCTGGACTCCAAACTTTCCCCCAAAGCCCTGGGCTGCGTCCGTCTGCGAGGAGTGCTTCCCAACATCAGCAACGTACTCGTGTCCCACTGCACACTGAGAGGAAAGACAGCGTGGAGTGAGCACCCACGGCCAGGCTGGGGCAGACACAGCCACCACGCTGCTGGGATACCCACAGACACCAGTGACAAGTCCAAGCTGCCCATGCCCTTCCACGCAGCCTTTGCCAGCACCAGCCATGCCCTCGATATCCTGCAATCCCACAGTGACCACACCTACCGAACATTACTGCAGTTTAACACTCTCACTTCAGAAAAAAAAAAGAAGTGTTAAACGCTGAAAGGTGCAGGAAGAACTGGGATTGTGATTGTCACAAAACATAAACCAGATCTAGTGTGAGAACAGAGAATACAAACCAGGGATTCATCCCAGGGAGCTGTGAGGTCTGTAATGCAGAATATGAGAAGAGAATCATTATTTATTAGTTCTTCAAGCACAAGTAGGGAGGCACCTGATTTAACTGTTGTGCAGCAGGTTTGAACAGCCACAGAAATTCCTTCTTCACAGCTAAAGGGAGAATTGTCAAGAAGTTGTAGAGGGGAGTTACACAAATGAAATCAAATAGATCCTGCAGACAGATTATGGGCTAGCTGGACATGTGTGAGCATAAAACTCTGCAGCTCTGCCAGCTCTCCATTTTCTCCCCTCAGGGTCCAGCCAGAAAACATGGATACCCCTTCCTTTATGAGAACCCTCTTCCACTGGGGCTCAAGGAAGCCCTTGAAGCTGTTACCTTATCCATTCTGTCCCGCTCCGTTCCGAATTTGCCTCCGTAGCCGTAGGAGGCCTTGGGGCCAGTCTCCATCTCCTTCTTCTTGATGACCTCATGTTCCTCTGACACCTTGTTCCTCAGCTGGTGGATGCTGGTGAGACAGGGCAGGTCAGTGTGGGATTGTCGAGAGCTGTGCAGCCAGTTGGAGCACTCCCTGTGGCCCTGCCCCAGCCAGAACCCAGGGCAGAGCAGGACATGTGCCTGCTGCCAGCTGCCACCACGTTCCCCCGCACTGGGTTCCCCTGGGTGCCAGCCACACCAGAGAGGGTGCTACCCCAGGGCCTGCCGAGGGACCAGAGCACTGGGCTCTGGGGGGACATCCTGCAGCCCTGTTCAGGGCCACATCCCAGCTTCCCTCAGGATCCCACACCTCCCTGGGCTGTCCCCAGGGTGGTCACTCTGGCTGCACCGCAGGGCAGCGCCGGGAGGATGTCCCGAGGGAGCTGCTGCCGCGGGTCAGCCCCGGGCAGGGAAGGAGCCTTTGCACCGAGAGACTCGCCCCGCAGCAGCACAGGTGGCTCCTGCATCCCACTGCGGTGCCAGCCCCGCGCCGGGATGCGGTGCAGCCCCGGGACGCCGCTCCGCCAAGCCGGAAGAGCCCTCCCCGCCTCTTCGCAAAGCAGCCCCGATGTGGCCGGTTTGGGGCCGCCCCACGCGTGGGGACGTGCCCGCGCTCCGGCCCCGGTGCCTGTCCCTGTCCCGCACCCCCGGCAGGTTCGTTCCCCGCCGCACTCACTCGATGTGCCCGGCTCGGCCGGAGCCCTCGATGGTTTTGGCTCCCCAGCGCTGCTCCCGCTCGGAGATGTCGTTCTGCGGGCGAAGCGTGTCCGTCACCCCCGGCCCCCCACACCGGGCTCGGGAATGTTTATATATAAAGCCTCATGCTGTTCAGGCTTAGTTTGAATGCTTGCACAAATAGAAGAAATGAAGTAAAAACAAGCAAAAAAAAAATGGACGGCATAGATTTTTTCCTAAAACGTTAATAATTTGGAACTTTGAGGAAGGGAATTGCTTTTCTGTCCCAGACTAGGATTTCTAACTGGAAATAAGTAGGCAAGGCTGGACCTCAAAAACACGGGGCTCTTGTGTAACAGGAGAGGCTTATTAGGAAAGGAATAGAGAACCAAAAGGAAAATTAAAATCATGACCCTGTATGAAGGCAGGGAGTTCCCCAGGCTGAGCCCTTCTGCTCTCTCACCAGCTCACCCAGAGTCAGACCAGATAGAAAACAAGTGTATGAGGGGCACAGAGCTGCAACTGCACGAGGGGACTACAGACAGCAGGATTTTCCATCTGGACAAAAAAAGACAAATGAGGGAAATGCTGGATTCTGTGCAGTTACAAACAGTATGGGACAGAGAAAATATAAGTCTTGTAACACAGGTTGTGGGGAGAACACGGGAAGCTACCGAGGAGCAGGTTTACTACTATGTATTAATATTTAATTTAATTATTTTAATTATTTAATTTGTTTATTTTATTTTATTTATTTTATATTTATATATAAATATAATATATTTATGTATAAATAAATATATATAATATATATTTTTATATTTTATATATTTGTATTTATTATATTATATTTATTTTATTATATTTATTAATATTTATTATATTATTGTATATTTAATAAATTTAATTAATTAAATTAAATTAATTTTAATTTAATTTAATATTCTGTATTAACATTCTGTACTCCCCAAGTGCCATTACCTGTGGTCAGACCTGGAGGTGGCACTGATGCAGGAATTCTGGAGACTGAACATGGAGATGGGACAGAAGTGGCTCAGACAGGTGACTGATGGTTCCCCACGCCCCGGCCCAGCAGAGCAGCCCAGGGGGCCAGGAAACCCTCACACCACCAGGATAACAGTTACCATGCCAGACACTCACCACGAAATCGGGGTCCGTGTCCCAGTCGTCCCCCTGAGGCTCCACCTTCACTGACACGTCGTGTCCCACGACCGCTTTCCACATCTGCGCAGCGAGGGCACGGCTGTCACCCAGGGCCCGGCACGTGGGCACAGCTGGCACAGGGCACCCCAAAACAGCTGCTGCTCCCAACACCCAACATTGTCTGTGCTGGGAGAGGCTGTTCCCCACGTTAACCCCCCGCAGCAGCACAGCCACATCACTGCCATGTGCTCCCAAGCACTGATGGACCTGAGGTGGACTCTTCGAGCTTCTTGTCTGTTTTCCAACCTTTTAATCCCTGCCCAGCAGCCCACAGAAGGGTCAGGGCAAGGCTGGGCACTGGTGCCCTGTGCTATTTGTGTAGGTTGTATGGAGAAAATGGAAAATGAGGCTAAAAGCCCCAAAGGTGCAGGGCTGGATGGGCTGAGGCTGTGGTGGAACAGCTCCCACAGGCCTGGAGGAAGTGATGGGGCCCAGGA